TGCTTGCATGTAAGTGAGTGCACCCGTCTCGTGCAATGCCGTGGAGGTCAGAAGAGGGCTTCGGATTCCCCTGGAACTGGAGTTAAGGATGGTTCAAAGCTGCCATGTGAGTCCTGGGAATCGAACCCGGGTCCTCTGCATGAGCAGTCAGTGCTCTTAACCACTGAGCCATCTCTCCAGCCCTCTCTTGTAGTTTCTAATTGGTTTATTGAGTGTTTCACTTCCTTCTTCATTTCAGTCTGAGTGTTCTTCAATATTTCTAACTCTTCTGAATTCATTCATTCATTCAGAAGTTTATCCCTATCTTCTTTCAGTTCTTTGATTTCTTTGTGTGTTCTCAAATTCACCAAATTCTTTTATCATGTTTATAATTGTTCTTTTGAATTCCATGCCTTGTGTTATCTCTGGGGGTTTCTCATTGTACTCCTCTACAGGGCTGTTGGTACTTGGTGGAGATATATTATTTGGGTTTTTCATGTTATTATTTTTTCTGTGACTTTGACATATGGATTTCTTTTGTAGTTTTTGATTCTTGTGTGAGACTCAAGCCTTCCTTTGTTGAGTTTAGGTCTGCTTCTGTCTGTAAACTTTATGTGCCTTTATGGTTTACTTGTTGGGCATGAAAAGCTGGTTGGTCTAGGCTTCAGGTTCTCTCTTTTGATTTTATATTGGAGGGTCCAGATGGCTTTGATCCTGCTTCTCAGGAGTTCCCACAGAGGTCCAAGTCGGATGAGGATCAGATGCTCTCAGGCTTTCTCCTAAGGTCTGGATCCCTCTAGTCAGCAGGCACAGTACAATTTGGGAGGATTGCTAGGTAGAGGTGGGATTCAGGACTCTCAGGCAGATAGGGAAGAAGGCTGGTCTTGGGAATCCAGAGCAAGCAGGGAAGGAGGCTGGTCTCAGGAATCCAGGATTGGGGGTGGGACAGCCAGGAATGAAGGCTGGTGTCAGATATGCAAAGGCCAGGTGGGAGAGGGAACAGACTTTGAGGCCTCCAGGGGACTAGACTGAGGAATTGGGTTGTGGGTGCAAAGGATCAGGAAGCAGTGGGGAGTCTGGGCCAAGAGGTCTGGGGTGCCAAGGGAAGAAATGAGACAGTGCCCACGCTAGGAGGAGAGATGGGGTAGGGGAGCTGGGAGGGTGAATGAGGTTGTGGGAGTCAAGGCACAGTGGGCATGGTTGAACTTACTTAGGAAAGATGCTGGCTTCAGGGAGTTGGGGGTTGGTCTGGCCAGGGATGAAGGCTGGTCTGGGTATGCAAAGGCTAGGGGGTAGGCTTTGAGGGCTACAGGGCACTAGACTGAGGAATTGGGTTGGTCTGGGTGCAAAGAATCAGAAAGCTGTGGAGAGTCTGGGCCAAGAGGGTAGACCAGAGGTCTGGGGTGCCAAGAAAAGAAATGGGCCAGTGCCCACTCCAGGAGGAGAGACGGGATGGGGGAGCTGGGAGGGTGAAGTATTTTAGACTTTTTAAGAGATAAAAAATGGGCCTTTGTGTTTACCTGAATATTTACCAATTCTAACAGTCTCCTTAATTCTTAAAGATCTAATTTTTCCTCTGTAGCAGAGTTCTCTAGAGGAATACAGCCAGTAGAATGTACATAGGTTCTATAAAGGGATTATTAGATTGGCTTAGAGTGGTCTAACCATGTCTGTCTGAACAATGGAGAGGCTGAGAACCAGTAGCTGGTCATTCCACAAGCCTGGGTGCCTCAGTAGTCACAATCCAGTGCCAAAGGGCTGGAGCTCCCTGGAGAGTTGCTGGTATTGAGTCTGTGTTGGAAAATTAAAGAGGTAGTGTCTGATGTTAGTAGGGGATGGCAGCATCAGTGACAGATGCATCTGTCCAGGAAGAAAAAGCAAAGGCCAGCAACACTGCATTTCCTCAGACTCTTTATATCCAGGCTACCCATTTTGAAAGCCAGTCTTCTTTAGTTAAACAGTCTTCTCTGGAAACACCCTTGTAATACAGCCTAGAGGTATGTCTCCTAGGTGTTTCTAAATCCCACTAAGTTGAAAATCAACTAATACATCCCCCCTTTTTTTCCTTAAGATTTATTTTATTTTTGTTTGTGTGTCTATGTGTGTGTGTGTGTGTGTGTCTTCCACATGTGTGGGAGTGCCTGTGGAGGCCACAGAGGGTGTCAGATCCCCTGGAGCTGGAGCTCCAGTCAGTTATAAGCTGCTTGATGTGGGTGCTGGGAACCAAACTTGGGTCCTCTAGAAGAGCAGAAAGCACTGCTAACTATTGAGCCATCTCTCCATCCTATAACACTACACTTGAATAATTTCTCTTTCTTCTGGGGAGTTCGTTTCAGCATTCTTTTGCTGATCATATCTAGTGACAAAGACTTTTCTCAGATTTTCATCTTTAATTTCATAATATTTTTTAATGGAGCTGCTGCTCCACTGACTTCTGGCTTCCCCTCTTTCTGGTGAAACTCCAAGATTACTGAAAGCTTCATTCTTCTGGTTCCAAGATTTGGCTCTACTTATGTATATGTTAGATCTTTGAGTATTATTCCACAAACAATTTCATTGGTTCTTTCTTTTGTTGTTTTCCTTTTGCTATTGAGCCCATTCAAGGATTTTTAAAGATACATTTACACACACACACACACACACACATATATATATATATTCAAAATTTAAATATATACCTATGGCTTTTGTAGCCCATGTTTCTATTTTAGAGATTTGTTTTATAGCTTCTATTTTACTGATAAGGAAAAATTATATTTTCCTACTGAGTTTTCTAGCTTGTCTTTATCTGATAATTGTTTTTTTTTTTTTTTTTTTTTTTTTTTTAAACGTGGTCTCACTATGTAGCCCTAGCTGGCCTGAAACTTACTATGTAGACCAATGACCCTCCTGCCTCTGCCTCCTGAGTGCTGGGATCAAAGGTGTGTACCACCACACTCCACTTATATGACAATTCTTATATCTATATCACCTTGGGGTTTTCATTTACTGACTATGCGTTCTCTTTATGTGTATAGTAATGTTGAATCATGTGCTGGACATTTTACATATTTTACTGTTTCACTTTGAATCCTGTGTAGAATGTTGCTGATTTTGTCCTAGTTAGGTTCACCCATTAAATTTGTTCTGCTAACCTGCGGTTTGTGTTTAAAATCTCAGATATATTTCTTTTCTTTCTTTTTTTTTTTTTAAAGGAAGGACTGATTTATTTTGACTCACAGTTTGAAAGAGTACAGTTTATTATGGTAAGGAAGATAATATTGAAGGACCAGCTCATGTCTGTGGAGACAGGGGCGTGAGGCCACTTGCACACATTTTTTCTTATCAAGAAACAGAGATAGAGGTTGAAATAGAAGTGGGCCTTGGCTATAGCCAATAGGACCCTCCTCTGAGTGATCTACTTCTACCTCCTAAGGTTCCACAGTCTACTGAAACAGCACCACTAGCTGGTGAACAAGTAATCAAAACACATGAACATTTAGGGGATATTTCACATTCGAAACAGTAGCAAAGACTATCTTTAGTGAGCCTGCACCTAATCAGGTGACTCCTTAATAGGAGATGTAGAGTTTAATAACTGGAAGCAACAGTCTTTCTCTCTTTGCTGCTTGTGTTGGAGAAGTAAACCACAGAGTTCAGATCCATTTCTTAAGCCTTGACTGTGCTGATTTGTGTCTGTCTCTCACATATGTGGATCCGAGTCTAGGATGTGACTTGAGTAGATGTTTCAAATCTCCTTTCCTTTCTTGTAGGCTACTTTGAGTCTCCTTTCCACTCATGGGACTAGCTGGTTAGGCTGCAACATGTGTGAGTTCATGCACTCATGATGGAAGGGCACCTTTCTCTGGCTTTCTTTCATCCAGGACTCTCCTTCTCACTTTGGCCACCCCTCTACTTTTCCTTGCTTCTCTGACCACAAAGATGATGGGCTCTCCATTTGAAGCTTGGCTGCTGGTGCCACTTTGTGACATGCTTGGTCTTAGGAGAAAGCCATGTCAAGACAAACAGACAAACAAACAAACAACAAGAAATTCTCCTTTGGGCAGGTTGCTTCTCCACACTTTGACTCTTTTACTAGTTTATTTACCCGTTTTTACTTTCTAGGGTCCTCAGAAGTCTTCTTTTGACATTTTGTTCATGATTAATAGGTTGTTATTAGTGGGAGAACTGCATCACAGGGTGCTTCAACCACTGTAATAGAACTGGCATGCTTCATAACTGTGTGCTATGTGGCAGGCATGATAGGAGCTTCTGTTTTATAGGAAATAAGCTAGATTACATTTAAAAAGTGGTCACAAAGTATGTGTTCTCTTAGTAGCCAAAGAGTTCTTATTAGGGGGCTAGAGAGATGGCTCAGCAGGTAAGAGTACGTACCTCACTCTTTTGCAGAGGACCCAAGTTTGGTTCCCAGAACCCACGTTGAGCAGCTCACAACTGCCTATAACTCCAGTTCCAGGGGATCTGACATTCCCTCTTCTGGCTCCACAGGTACCTGTACTCACATGTACCCCTGCCACATATACATACAATTAAAAAAATATTAACAAAGCATTTTTATTACTATAAGCTAAAGAACACTCCTGAGGACTTTTCAATGTTGTGAGCCCACCATCTCTTCTAGGTACACTTTACTTGGTGGTGTTTTTGGTTAGAGATGGCAGTGACATTTCCCATCAAATCTGATAGGTCCCAAGATATTTCTATAGGAATTATGAAGCTTTAATTTTAAGACAAAATTTACTTGTACTAACAATGGTGAATGAACACGCCAAATTAAAAAAATTTGATAAGTAGGTATATTTGAATATAAATGCCTAGCATTGCTTATTAGACTGAGTCTTAACCCAGGTTTGGTTTCAGATTTAATTTTTGAAATTCCAGTGCTCTGCTTTGGTCTGGGATCTTGCTTTTAATCCAACCATGGTAAAGGTATTAATCTTTCTCTTTTTCCTTTAATGTTGTTAATTTGAAAATGTCTTTGGCTGCATAATCATGCTAATTTGAGGCACTTTTCTTTATAGATTTAAATATTCTAGACTGGAATTTTCAAAATCTTGTTGCTATAGCCCTTGGATCTTCTGTATGCATCTGGAATGGGGAAACCCACAATGGGACTGAAATGATAGACTTAAGCCTCATCTGTAACTATGTATCTTCTGTGTCCTGGATAAAAGAGGGAATGTGCCTGGCAATGGGCACCAGCGAGGGAGAAGTGCAAGTACTGGAAACTTTTTTCTCATGCTTCCTGTGCAATTACTAGATAACTGACTTTAGCTTTAAGAAGCATATTAACATAGAGAAGCTAGATTAAGTAAGGTACCTGGAATCATGGGAAGTAAGGAGAGGTAGAAATTTTTTCTTCTGAATGGTATTTCTTCTTTGTTAGTTTGGTGTTTTTGAGACAGGGTCTCTCCGTAGTCCCAGTTGGCCTGGAACTTACTATGGGAACCAAGCTGGCCTCAACCTCATAGATCCCTCTGCCTCTGCCTCCTGAGTGCTGGGATTAAACACATGTGTCACCACGCCTGGCCTGAATAGCATTTCTTGAAGACTTGCAGATAGTCTCCTTTGTTTCCTCCCACAATCTTTTTGTCATATTTCATTTGTTGTTTTTGGAAAAAGTCTTTCAAACTGAAGTTGGATTTGTACTGCCTCTGGTTTTGGAACTTTGGAGAAAGGATGACATCTTTCCAGTTTTGTCTCATCTGAAACAGCAATGGAGGTAGAGCTATGGAAAATTATTTTTTTACCAGGTTCCTAGTACTCAGGAAGCAGAAACAGGCAGATTTCTGTGAGATTGAGGTTTATATTGCGAGATCCAGGCCAGCTGTGGCTACAGGGAGACCCTATCTCAAAAAGACCAGAAAAAAAAAAGATTATTTTTCCCTGAAACTAGGATTTGTCAAGTTTCTATCAGTATTTTCCTCATTTACCATCATCACCATCATTTATTAGCAGCATTGTAAACAATATTGACCGGGGGCTAATCTAGGATGTCCCAAGATGCTATGAAGTTATATATCATGTCATCCTTTTCTGAAGCTGTCCCTCCTTCATTTGAGTCACAGTATCATCTGTAGCCAGCAAGAATGGAATTTCAGCAGTAAATTGAATTCTGACTCTAGGAAGTGTTCCTGTACCCTGATTTCATTCAGACAAATTAATAAAAATATTTTGGACTTCAGAGCATCTTGCATTTTGGATTAGGACTGCAAAATTGGTACATTCTATGAGAATAATTCCAAAATTTGAAACACTCCCAAACCCAAAACACTTCTGCTTCCTGGTATTTTGAATAAGAAATAATCCATACATTTGTTGGTAGTTGTAGGTGGATTATTGGAATTGCCTGAGTTTCTGAGGAGCTAAAAATCTCAATAATAATTCTTAATCCTTGGTTGCACATTGAATGTAAGCTGGGGAGCTTTACAATAAACACACCCCAGGCTCTACCTCACCAGTTAAGCCACAGTTGCTAGCATCAAATAGTGCTCTCTAGGTGATCCCAGGATGCAGTCAAAGTTGAGAATGATGGCTAGAATTAAAGGTGCTGGGTTTTCACTTAGTGTATAACTTTGGCTACATCAAGCAATTTTCTCTGAGGCCTTTGAGAAGATGGCGGGCTGTGGAAAGTCAATGCCATGGAACTCTGCTTGTTCATCTTTTTCCAGTTATGGGACATAGTAACTAAAAAGCGGCTGAGAAATATGCTTGGGCATTTGTCAGTAGTTGGAGCCCTGAGCTGGAACCACTGTATCCTCAGCAGGTAAGAAGATCTTATTTGAACTGACTGTGTTTGTATCACCAGTGAATTATGGGAGCTGAGTGATATCAGAGTTGGAAGGAACCTCATGATTATTCTGTTCAAATAGTTCTCAAAGTTGAGTGTGCATTGGACTCCTCCGCAGGGCTCCTGGAACAGAACACTGTCCCCACTCCACCATTTCCTCATTCATTAGAGCTGGGGGAGGTGCAGGGGACTGATAATTTATACTTCTGATTTCCCAAGTGAGGACAACAATACATCAGAACTATTGAGTTGGTTTAAACGCTTCTTTTTAACCATAAAAATGAAGTGATTTGTTCTTATGACTCTATAATTGGTTTAAACATGTATTGCTTTTAGAAATAACATTAATCTCTTCACTGTATTTCTTAAGGTAGATATAATTCAGGTATGTTTCAAAACCCTTTATAGCCTATTTAAGCAACTCAGAAGAAAATTTGAAATTTTATACCTTGTGATTGTTAGGCCAAACATTAAATCACTTGGTTTTTGAAGTCAGTTCAGTTCTGTACAGATGTTCTTTTTCCAAATGGCATCATTAAAGATTGACTTCGTTACCCACAAGATTTTTGTTTACTTATTTTTATTTTATATGTGTGAATGTTGTGCCTCCATGTATGTAAATGTACCACATGCATGGAGGCTGGAAGGTGCTGGGAATAGAACCTGGGTCTTCTGCAAGAGCAGTAAGTGCTGCTTACCCACTGAGCCATCTCTCCAGCCCCTAGATCCTTTGTGCTAGGCACTTGGCTATACTCTTTATGGGCACGATCTTGTTTTAATTCCTGTTATAGAACTATAAAGTGGGTTTGATTTCAGATGAGAAAACTGAAGCACTAGAGTGAAGTCACATGGTTATGAGGGACTGAGTCAGGATTCAAACCCAGGCAGCCTGACTCCAGAGCCCATACATAGTGTTAGTCAAATGTTATTCAGGGTTTCACCTGAATAGTTAAAAATAGAATATCAGATATTGGTAAATTCTTAAATAATTGTAGAAGATCATTTATTTGCTTGCTATAGAAAATATAAACCAGCCTGAAAGAGTTCATGGTCTTTGGGAGTATATGGTCTTTGTCATGGATAACCTAAACCACTGAGAGTGAAGAGAGACTTTATCCACTGATTTTTGAATCATATACTCTTCTGTGACTTTCAGCTAGTGTTAAATTCCTTTTACATATTAGTAATATTGACAAAATTAAGAGTGGAATTCTAGCTTAATAGGAATATACCTGTTAGAAAAGGGAAATCAATTTCTGTTTAACATTTTATAATAAACACATACTAAAACTACTTTATTTAGTTAATATGAAATAATTAAAAAGGACTTTTTTCTAGATTTTATAAGTAAACTACCTGAGAAACATCTGATAATCTAATTTTGTCTTTTCCATGGCTATTGACATAATATTAAAGCTATTAAAAGCATCTTTTTCAATTCCAAATTTAAAATGTCGACACACAAATCTATTTCACATGTGAAAAGAATCACACCTGTGTTTGGAAATGGTCCTAATGGATCTTTCTGTAGTTTTACTTTGAACAGCACTTTTCTCCATGTTTTCTCATGCTTACCTAGTAGTGAGACTTCCTGCTTCTGTCACATGAACCTGTCTCTTCACCTCCTCCTCAGTGGATCAAGACTGGGGCGTGTCCATCATCATGATGTTCGGATATCTCAGCATCATGTAGGAACACTTTGCCACAAGCAAGCTGTGTGTGCTCTGAAGTGGTCACCTAATGGCAGGCTGCTTTCCAGTGGATGTAGTGACGGCCTGCTGGCCATATGGCCGCATGATCCAGGTGCCAGTGTTCAGGGCCAACCACTGAAAGCCATGTCTCAGTCCACAGCAGTTAAGGTAAGAAATCCAGCAGCTGACCAGGTTTGCTTTTCTCAGAGACCATTGGTATTTTAGGTAAAAAAGAAAACCAGACAGGCTTGGTGGCACAGACTTGTTCTAGTTACTTTTCTGTTGCTGTGTTAAAACACTCTAACCAAAACCAATTTAGGGAGGAAAATGTTTATTGCATCCCACGCTTCCAAGTGACAACCCATCTTTGAGGGAAGTGAGGCAGGAATTCAATGCAGGAACCATGGAGGAACACTATTTACTGGCTTGCTTTCTTGGCCTGTGCTCACCCTGCTTTCTTATATAACCCAGGACCACCTGCCCAAGGGTGGTACCACCCACAGAGGACTGGGCCCTTCCACATCAAGAACAATTAAGAAAATGCCTCACAGACATGCCTATAGGTCAATCTGATAGAGAAAATTCCCCAACTGAGGTTTCTTCTTCCCAGGTATGTCAAGTTGACAACTGAAGCCAACCATGACACTTTCCCTAGCATGCCCAGTGCCCTGAGTTCAATTCCCTGCACACACACACACACACACACACACAGAGGTACACACATAGAGGGACATTGTATTCTTTCATGATGGAGGGAGTGGGCAAAGTCCTAAAAGGACATGCTGTGTGGTAAGTCAGGTTGCACTTATGTTTGGAAAATTCAATTCAGTTTTTTATTGTCTTTAAAGTAGGACAAACTCATAAAGCTATCCCTGAAACAGTCATAATGCATACTCCTTGCAAATATCCATACATGGTCCCGCATTTTTAGTAGTTAGCTTAGCCACATTGAATTTACAACATTTTCCCTTTAGGGACCAGCTTTTATGAAGAGGTTCTAAAATATTAGATCTAGTTTTTTGTAGAAATAATGGTTCTTTTTAAGGCCAAAAAAGCAAGTGATTTAATTAAATGTTTTACATGTGATTTAATTAAGCCACACAATTATAATAATAAATTAACCTGTGGTAGATAGGTTTGTTAAAATAATGGACTTTTTAAACCTACAACTTAATTAGTAGGAGAAGCGATATGTCACATTCTAGAGAACAAACTCTAAACTTGTTAATGTAGAAGTTAACTGCTTTATTGAAGCAAAGGAGAACTTTGTAAATTTATCAAGTTGATTAAAATTGGCAAAGAGAGTGTTTAATGTATATTTAGGTATATACTTTAAATTTTTTATTGCATTTAAGTGATTGCATGCGTGTGTGTGTGTGTGTGTGTGTGTGTGTATGTGTGTGTGTGTACAAGTCACAGGGCATGTGAGGTCAGAGGACAACTTGTGGGAGTTGGTTCTTTTTCCACTATGTGGGTCGCAGGAATTGAGCCTGGACTGTTGGGCTGATTGTCAGGCTTGGTGGCAAGTGCCTTCATCCACTGAGCCATTTTGCAAGATGTGTGTTTTAAAATATGGATTCTAACTTGTAAGAGCAGCAGTAAGTATAGGTATTTAAAGGAATGAATAATTCACTGGAGGAATATAGACACACAGGAGCAGTTAATTCTTGCCAATGAGGGGAAGGAAGTGCAAAAATACCACCGTTAGAGTTGCTTCATAATTATCATTTCACTGGATATAAGACAACACATTAAACTCCAAATAACCAAATAACCTCCAGCCAAAATGTTAATATGCTCATTTAATGCTGATGCTGTGAAAATTGTAACTGTTTGGAAAAATGTTATGTCCACACTTACAAAATTTTTAATTTACCTAAAGGTATTTGTCAGAAATAATGCTGTTTTTAATAACAATGAACACAAAATGATACATAAAAACAAACAAAAAATCTACTTCTCTTTAAATATCTCAACTCACTCAAACCAAGCCAAACTAAACAACAACAAAATCTGAATCCAATATTAGAATGACAAAGACTAACAGAATATAATGAAATTGTCAAAAACTGTAATTATGGGGGCTGGAGAGAGAGCCTAGGTTAAGAATACTTGCTGCTTTTGCAGAAGACCCAAGTTTGGTTCCTAGCACCCAGGTCCAGCAGCTCACAACTGCCTGTAACTCTATTTCCAGGGGGGATCTGGTGCCCTATTCTGGCCTTCTCAGGTACACACATACATGTGAACACATGTACACACACTCAGAGGCACACATGCACATAAATAGAAATATACTTAAAATAATTGTTAAAATTATGTTAAAACATGGAAAACTATGAAATAATCAACTAAAGAAAAAAACAGTACAGGCTAATATCTGTTACTCTTTAAATACTTTTATCTGTAGAAGAGAGTATGCAAAACTTGATGCTAGTTACCAGATGATCGACAGATTTCTAGATGACTATAAGTGGTTAAAATTGGTGGAGAGAGAGTTTAATGTATATTTAGGTGTGCGCTTTAAATTTTTTATTGCATTTAAGTGATTGTGTGTGTATGCGTACAAGTCACAGTGTGTGTGAGATTAGATAACTATATCCTTTAAAATGCCATGTGTGGTGGTGCACGCCTTTAGTCCCAGCACTCAGGAGGCAGAAGCAGACAGATCTCTCTATCAGTTCAAGGCCAGCATGGTCTACATAGTGAGTTCTGGGGGCTACAGGGTGACCCTGTCTCAAAAGACAAAAAATTCTTTTAAAGTTACTAGTCAGTTCGGTTATCTATGCAAATATGAGATACTAAATCTTACTTTTCATAATTAACTGTAGTCATTTGTAAATAAATTTATTTCCTGAAATGTATTAAGATTTGAAATGCATGAGATTTTTGATTTGCTTTCTTTTGTGTAACCACAATCGGGAACACAAGGACACAGTGGATGGAGCAGGGGCTGCATTTCAGAACACAATTCTGGACATCCCTGAGCTACCCCAGCAGCAGGATTTTGTACAGTGGATGTGTTGCATATAGCTTTTTCCATTGTGTTTTGTAATTTTTCTATGCTAAAAGTAGTGACAATTGATAGCATAATTTCAGAAGAATCCTAGGTGACTGCCCTCCCTAGTTCCTGGGAAATAATTTCTGAAGGGTGCGCTGCCCCTGCCCTGGAGAGCTGTTGCTTACCCATTGTTTCACATTTGTGAGTCTGCTTCTCCAAGGCTCACCTGCCTGTGTTATTATTTGGAACTTTGTAGGCTGTGGATTGGTGTCCCTGGCAGTCTGAGGTCCTTGCTGTTGGAGGAGGAATGAAGGATGGATGCCTACATATTTTGGATATAAATACTGGGAAGAGTATCCAGACTCCAAGTACACACTCACAGGTAAGTGTTCTGGAATTCACCTTCACCCCTACCTTCTAGAATCTTAAGAAAATAATTTTTGATAGACATAGGACCCATATCCACCTCTCCTACCTCAGAACCCACAAGAAATTCAAATTTTCAAGAGTTTGTTTTTTGTCAAATCTCCTTTAAAAGAATTAAATTTTTTATTTTTGAGAATTTCACACATGAGTACTATATTTACATAATGTAAAATATCTTTTAAATATTTTATTTATTTATTTATTTATTTATTTATTTGGTCTTTTTGAGACAGGGTCTCCCTGTAGCCCCAGCTGTCCTGGATTCCCTATGGAGACCAGGCTGGCCTTGAACTCACAGAGATCCGCCTGCCTCTGCCTCCTGAGTGCTGGGATTAAAGGCGTGTGCCACCATGCCCGGCTTATTATATTTTTATTTTATGTGTATGAGTGTATTATTTGTATGTGTGTAAGTGCACCCATGTCATGCAATGCCCACAGAACTCAGAAGAGGGCATCAGATTCCCCTGGAACTGGAGTTATGGATGATTGTAAGCTGCCCTGTGGGTGCTGGGAACCAAACCTGGGTCCTCTGCAAGAACAACTAGTGCTGTTAACTGCTGAGCCATCTCTCCAGCCCCAATGTAAAATATTTTCATCAGTGAGTCCAAAGTTAATTTAATTAGTTTTTGTTCCCTCCCTCCCTTTTCTCCCTTCTTTCTCATTATGGCGTTGTTTTCCTGGCCATTGATTATAACTCACTTACTTTCACCTGTTCATTGCACTTGAGCCTATTTGTATTTTGGTCCTTGGTTGCCTTGGGATAAGCTTTCTTAGGATCAATATAATTCCCAAAATATGAAAACCTTGCTCTGGCTGAAGGACAGGTAGTGAACAAAACAGAGTCTAGAATCAGTCTAGGTACATTCATCATGAATCAGATGTTGCTGCTGTTCTGTATTTTGTGATCCCCATTACAGATTTGTTCTCTCATCTGGCTACCTAAGACAAAGGAGATTGCAACAGGCCAAGGAGCTCCCAAGAATGATGTGACTCTGTGGACCTGTCCCACTCTGTCTAGGTCGGGTGAGTTCTTTGGTAAGTAAATGTCACATATCTGTCCATGGTGAAGTGAGCTACCACTAATGGGAAAACTCTGAGTGTAAGACTTTCCTCCTTATTCTTTGATTTCAATATTCGATAGAGGAGAGAGTCCTACGCTCACAATTTGACCACAGTTAGCACTTGAAATTGTCAAGGTTTCTCTTCCTCAAATATGTGTATGTTTTATAAAGTGATGATTCTGGGCAGTTTTTGAACTCCAGATGTAGCATCACAACTTGTTTTGAAGTAAACCTAGCAGCATGGAGGACAAGGAGAGCTGGAAGGCAAAACGTTGTATGCAGGGAGACCACTGCAAATGAGTATCTATCTATCATCTCTATCTATCTATCTATCTATCTATCTATCTATCTATCTATCTATCTATCTATCTATCTATCATCTCTATCTATCTATCTATCTATCTATCTATCTATCTATCTATCTATCTATCTATCTATCATCTATCTATCTAATCTATCTATCTATCTATCTATCTATCTATCTATCTATCTATCTATCTATCTATCTATCTATCTATCTATCTATCTATCTATCTATCTATCTATCTATCTATCTATCTATCTATCTATCTATCTATCTATCTATCTATCTATCTATCTATCTATCTATCTATCTATCTATCTATCTATCATCTCTATCTATCTATCTATCTATCTATCTATCATCTATTTATCATCTATCATCTATCATCATCTATCATCTATCTATCTATCATCTATCTATCTATCTATCTATCATCTATCATCATCTGTCTATCTAAT